CCTTCTTTGGCTGCGACATTCCTGACGGCTTCTGTCCCGGTTAGTATTTTTTCTGTAGGGTTGAATTTGCATGTCCATAATGCTTGCTGAATGGAGCATGAGTTTAGTTTCTGTAGATATGGAGTGGAGGGGTGATTCCTACGTTTACTAATTTTTTATTTTTTAAATTTCAGGCTCTTGATTTTACTGGAGCTCCACTGTCCCACCAGAGTGGAGTAGGCCGGGCCTATACTTCGATGTGTCTCGAATAAATCATGACAAATAAATTTAAATTTTTCATTATCCCACATATCTGATGTTTAATGATCAATCGTATTTAAGGGTCAATTAATTTTTAAATAATTAATTAATAGTTAAATTTTAACACAAGGAATTTGTCTCTGGCATTGTCTAAGTTAAATAGAAAATGACAAGCAAATTTACTGGTTATTTGTATGCTTAGATTATCAGTAGCATAATTTGATTTAAATCTTTCCTCCCCATTGCATAAAGGGGAAGACTGAATAACTTGTATTCCCTCCTGGAGTCTTCCTCCAGCAAATTTTAACTATTAATCGCAACTAAGCTGAGTTGAATAAAAAAACTAATGAAGCTTTTATTGTTTATATGTAGAAATTCTTTAACCACCAGTCCCTGGGTAACACTTCTTGCTGTGGCTGGGTTGCTTAGAGGCCTCATGTAGGGGGTTGCCCTGACCTTGTCCCTCTGCCCTTACCAGCCTTCCCACTCCCATCCGGATGCTGACGTCCCTGTTGCAAGTCTTCCCGATACTCGACATCTCCCTCCCTGTTCCCATGTTTGTATCCAGTAAGTTTCGGCTACCATTCTACCCACCTCGCCCATGGTTTTTATTGATTGTTTCCCTTAGTTGCCTCGCTTTCCTGAGACCGGCTTTCACATTGATCAAATTGTCCCATACCCTTAATCCCTTTTACAAATCCCTACCATATCCCATTTGCTCTTCCCTCTATTCTTTTCATTGCCATTCTATTCTACAGCACTCTAATCTTTTTTGACGCTCAACTCTTTTACCTTTCGCCCTGCTATTCCAAAATGCAGCCAAGAGGTGACGCCTCGCCAGTCCTGGGCTCGGTGTGAGATCATGTCTTTCTTGCCTTGAAAGGAGGCCCGCGTTCAAACAAGGGCATAGTTAGGATAGTTCGAATGTGAGGTGGGGGGGGAAAGTACGGATTCAGGCGAAGTGCAATGAATAAAATAAACATTAATGAAGGGTTGCTTTTATTCATGTTTATTTAATGCATGTTTCCAATATATCCAAATTAAGATTTTAGTTTATTACTAAAATTAAATCTTTTTCAATTCCTTTTCTATAAACTTGTCTGACGAATAGCAAGTTCCAACATAGTCGCCATTCATAAGTATATTAATGGCTCTGCATTACCCTAAGCAGCTACTGAATTCTGTGTTGAATTATCTGGAGCCACTATTTGGATAGTGGTATAATTTGATGTTCTTTGGAGAACAAATGACAGTTCATACACCATTATATTTCCAGATGTTTACAATTTAATTACTGCCAAAATAACGATATTAATGTGAAAGACGGATATCGAAAGCAATGGGTTTCTTGAATGGTTTGGAGGGGAAACAGACAAGGCGTTTGACACCAGCCGCTGAAACGACAAAGCCTTAAGTCAAGGCTAAGGGAATACCCTCTTAGCCTTGGGTAAAGTGAAGCTTGACTCTCCCGGTTCACGCTTGCTCACTCACCCTGCGAAAGGCAAAGGGGTTTGCTGGGAAGTGCCCAATCTGCCCAGGTTTAAAGACCTAGTATCAAATTATTGACAATGTTAAGCTTCAACACCTGCATCCTATATATCCCACCATTATATTGATGCACTGCTACACTAACTGCATTTTACATCAATTTTCACCGTTTCGAAAATAGAATTAGGCTGACTGCCGTTGCAGTTACTTTTAAGAAACTGTTAATGTTAGACAATGCTTTCTGTAAATATATTTGATTGAGGGTAGGAGACAAGTGGCCCATCACTCAAGTTGACCCCAACCAAACAGCGCTTTGCTATTTATGAATGCGACTGGAGGTCGTGGTGCGTAGAAGACACCCAAACGAAAAAAAAGGTAGAAAGTGATGGGTATAGATTCCCTTACAGCCTGAGTTTTGTGGCCAAAGCCATTAAGTTTTGGTAGCCCAAGAGGGGCTATTTGGGACAATACATTCACCCACTGTATGTGGGTGAGAGTAAGGGGGGGTGCAGACACTAGCCTTCAGAAGATGGGACAAACATCTAAATCACCCCCCCCCTTTCCTAACTGTCCAGGATTTTCGAATGTGGGCAAGATCACTCCAAGCCCAGGTCTGGCAAGGCAACATCGCTTTTGTTGGGTGTACCATGATCCATAACGGTTTAGATAAATGTGCCAGACAAAAAGTTATACATCACCGAGTAAGACTAAGACTGAGTGACCTTTAAGAGGGGGGGGGGGAGGTGGAGGATTTTACAATCCTCAGGGTCCATAGGGTTAAACCGATTAACCTAACGAATACAGTGCCCATGGCTTAAGAGGCTGTTCATGGCTGTCAACGCCAGCCTTTCATCTTAACATGGCTCTTGCACCTTGGGAATAGGACAGGAGGGGATGAAGATGAAAGGCGAGAAACCATGAAATATTAGATGGCACAGGCCCAACGTAGGGACTATCCTCTTAAAATAGTCCTCGGGCAAGGTATTGCGAGAGATGACCACAAAAATGTTAAATAAAACTGAAGGGGTTAAATGTATGGCGTAATTAGATCATAGAGTATAAAAATTAAAAGTGCCTTTCATGAAGACTAAAAGATCTTCAGATTAGAAAGCAAGAAACTGAATCAAGTATAAATATAGGAGTAGGGATTAGGAAGTATAAATGATACAAGGGCCGTAGCAACAAAGTCGCATCAGCCTCGAAATGGTGAAGGAAGGTTCAGGTTTTATTCTCATACCCTCCCCCCCCCCCCCAAGAGGGCAAAGGCTTGGGCAATCCCTACGTTTGGCCGCCACAACAAGGAGCAAAGTATTAGTAAGAATTACCATTTTTACCATGTTAAATTTTAGATTCCAGAAGCAACGTATGGGATTTAAATTGAATTTATCACCTTATCCATATTTTAAACTCTTGGGAGATGGGTTTACTCACTAGAGGGGGGATCCAGGCAGGACTCGTATTTTAAATTTGTACAACCAAAAGGTTGTAAAATTTTAAACTAAGCACATGTGGCCCCTGTGACCCATGCCATTTACGAGGCTCCACCCCCCCCCCCCCAAAAAAAAAAATATTTCTAATTCCATTTATCTTTAATATATTAATATAGCAATCTTAGGGATGTTAAGAAATTCCTTACAGGGGTTTAAGGAATTAAGCTGGTTTCATTTTATAATAACTATAGCATTTGGTTAAGCAAAAGTAGAGTAAAATTTCATAATTTATTCGAGACCCATCGAAGTATATATCAGGCTTTACGCCACCCGGTGTCAAGGCAGGGTCGACCTCGTAAAAGTTCAAGAACCTGAAAGAGAAAACAGATTTGCGATTTATTAAAGTTTCCCAATTATGTCCATTTATTCAATAAATTTGAAAGTATATAAATATATAAACTAAATTTTTAAAAAGATACTAACCGGGACAGAAGCCGTCAGGAATGTCGCAGCCAAAGAAGGCACCCTTGGAAGCATTTTTGTCATGGTCCTCCACACACTGGCCAACACCTGCAGAGATCTCATCCCACCTGTAGCCTTCAGGGCAGCTGTAACGGAGCTGCCGTAACTTGCCACCCAACATGTAGCATTCAAAGTAGTTCTGCTGGTTCAGGAGGTCAGGATATCGGCCTTCCTGCTTGCACACGAACTGGTACAGGCAAGGGTCTTCACATACTCCCTTTTCCTTGTTGTACATCAAGCCGCTGTTGCACTGGAAGCTCTTCTGCAGCCAGCCATGTCGAAGACCAATGCACGAGTAGTATACACTGCAGTTAGCCGGGTTGGCAAAAGTACCAGCCTCAGTACATTGGGGCAGGCCATTTCCTGTCTGGCACTGGGCAGAGGCTTCGTCGAATACCATGCCATCTGGGCATTTGTAGTTCACTGGGGGGGTTACAAGGTTCTTGCAAGAGAAGAACCTCTGAGGGTCGTAGGGGTCCACTCGGAAGGAGTTGGCCTTCTCGCATTTGCAGGCCTTAGGCTCATCTGGGTAGCAGACTCCACCGCCAAATTCGGGCTTCATTGAACAGTAGTGGTTCTCGATGCAGTGGCGAGTGAAGGCCTGTCCCTTCACACACTGGACCATGGTCTTGCAATTGACGCATATGAATTTGTTGGGCTGGGATTCGCACAGTTTCGAGTAATCGTGGTAATCTGTAGTAACACTGCGTTCACCTCGCGAGTCCCTGGAAAGACTATACTTGTACTTTTTTCTTCATAAAGAGCTGTAATTGTGAATACAAAATTACTTTAAGTACTTACTCTTCGGCTGCAACAAGGGCCACCCCCAGGACCATCTGAAACAGGGGCCGATGGTAAATATATCTAGAATTGATAAAGATATTAGGCACCCTTGAAAGCCTTGTTTAAGGCTCCTTTTGGGGTGATTCAGGTTATATAGAGGTCATGGTCAAATTTTGGGTCTAGCATTTTTAAACAAATAAAAACTTTTGTAGCGTCTTAGTATTAGTATCGAGAAGAGTTTTAGTAGAAAAGCAATTTACATCTAAAATTTTTAGTTTAATATATCCATTCTAGAAGTATGGAAATTTATATTTCTAGATATACTAGATTCCTGGTTTTATATATAAAATTAAATAGAATATTTGTAGTAAGTAAGCAAAATTAAGATATAAATCACTAAATTTAAGGTTTGTTGTTTTGTTTTTAGAAGTACAGAAACCAAGGTTATGCAAGTAAAGAAGTACAGAGTTACAATAAAAACATTTACTAAACTGATTTTCCTTATGTAAGCGTTTTCCGTAGTAAAAAACAGTAAGCGATTCCTTCAAGGACTTTCGTATAGATTTACATTACCAATAATGTATCCACACCCAAGTATAGTATTATCAAACAAATACTTTTCATAGTAAAATGAATAAAGTATTACATTACTACTCACCACAACAAAGAATGTACTCGACCTCATCTTCGATTGGTGTCTGACAACCAACCGTTTCTCGGGCTATTTATAGTTTTCTTTTAACAAACAATCTACCCGTTTTAAGCGCCATCTAGAAATACTGGGCTTTTAAAGAAAACGGATA